AAAACAAAATCATCAAATATATTGGTTTAAAAGTCTGACAGAAACCATGTGTAAACTCACAAACTTAGATGCATCTCCACCAGAAAACCTCCCAGTCGGAGCAGCTCTGCCTACCGCTGCAGCACCCCCTGCTGGCGCCAGAGAGCAAGACGAGGTGGCACGCAGGAACTCTGTGGGAAAAGCCAAGGGGAAGGGCAAGAGGGCAGAAAACTCCCCTGCAGCAGAGACTGACCTGGAGGTAACTGCCCTCCTCCCTGAAATGGAGCGCTCTTTAGGGAGAAAACCATTCAAATATGACGGTGTTTTTGGTTTTTTTTTTTGTTTGTTTTTAGCGAATATTTCTGTGGGACCTGGACGAAACCATTATCATTTTCCATTCACTGCTGACTGGAACCTACGCACAGAAGTTCGGCAAGGTGCGTTCAACAGACGTCAGAAAAAAACGATTAACGCAAAAGTTAGTGTACTGTCAAAATTGATACAAAACCCAGAGTTTTTATGATGTAGTAAGTTACTCTAAAGGTCAAAGGACATGATAAGTGTATTTAATGTCTATTTATGTGTGTGAGACAAACAGAGGTCATGCACATTGAGCGGTGGTTTCCATCTTGGAAGATACATTTATTAGTGAAAACAGTGGTTTTATTTTCCCTCGTTCTCCTGTAGTTTTATTGTCGACGTGTGAATGCGTTTTACCAGTGTTCTGGACGTGGACCGGTTGACGCTGATGGTAATCAAGTGTTGGTTCTGGTTGGTTGTCTGTGCAGGACCCGGCCACGGTGCTGAAGATGGGGCTGCAGATGGAGGAGCTGATCTTTGAGCTGGCAGACACTCATCTGTTCTTCAACGACCTGGAGGTAAAGTCAGACCGTGGTGACGCTCACCGCGGAGGTGGAAACCAACCAACCAATCAGTCAGTGTTTTCTGTGTGCATGAAAAAAAAAATGTTGTCAAATGTTTTCACTTGAAGGAATGCGATCAAGTCCACATCGAGGACGTGGCTTCAGACGACAACGGACAAGACCTGAGGTGTGTCTTCAGCACGGATTAGGAAAATAATCAGCCCCCCCGACCTCCTCCTCCGTTCTTAAATTTGTTTTTTTTTATTGTCCAACATGATCCCTGTTCTTTGCTCTTCTTTTCCAGTAACTACAACTTCTTGGCCGACGGCTTCAATGGTCCCAGTGGTGGAGGGGGGGGAGTGGAGTGGATGAGGAAACTGGCCTTTCGCTACCGTCGGCTAAAAGAGATCTACAACAGCTACAAAGGCAACGTTGGCAGTGAGTTTTTATTTTTATTTATTGTTACTAGAGTTAGTTTAGCTGCAGAAATCAGAACAATTGCTGGGAGTTAATTCAGATCTTTAACTTTATCTGGTTCCTGTTGACATCAGAGAGGACTTCCTGTCAGGGTCAAAGGTCGACACGTATCAGTGTAAACACCTGTTCTTACTGTCGTCGTCCTCCAGGTCTGCTGAGTCCTGTGAAGAGGGACGGGCTGACGTCACTTCAGTCTCAGATTGAGAACGTCACAGACGCCTGGCTCAGCACGGCGCTCAAGTCTCTGCTGATGATCCAGTCCAGGTCAGAACCACAGAACCACAGAGCAGGATTTCCTGTTGATTTGAAATGTACCATATATATATAAATATATAATATCTAAGTTAAAAATATTTAAATATGTGTTGATTTCTTACCTTCTAAATGAGGCCGTGTGTGTCTGTGTGACGTCCACCTGCAGGGGGAAGTGCATGAACGTGCTGGTCACCACCACTCAGCTGGTCCCGGCTCTGGCCAAGGTTCTGCTGTACGGCCTGGGGGACGTCTTCCCCGTGGAGAACATCTACAGCGCAACCAAAATAGGTGCCGACGCTCGAGATGACACTGGTGCCGTAGTGTAGCGTCCATGGTTCCGTTTGACGTGGTAAGAATGTGTGTGAGGTCATGCTCTCTGTGTCTTGGGCTGCAGGAAAGGAGAGCTGCTTCGAGAGGATCATCTCGCGCTTCGGGAAGAAAGTGACTTACGTGGTGATCGGCGACGGTCGAGACGAAGAGTTTGCAGCAAAACAGGTAGAAGTTTTGACACACACCAACATAACTTCAACAAGTTATGACAATGGCTCTCCACTAGGTGTCAGTGTGCAAGATGAGTTAATTCCCCTGAGGGGCTAGTGTTGTCATTAAAACCCTTAAATAGGCAAGAAAAGAAAGAACTGTAAACAGACGTCAACTGTCATGACCTCTGCATGAAAGGTCAAGGGTCATGTATTTGTGGCGTCCCGTGTCTTTAAAGTCTAACCTCCGTCATCTCTGCTGCAGCACAACATGCCTTTCTGGCGGATCTCCACCCACGGAGACCTGGTGTCTCTGCACCAAGCTCTGGAACTGGACTTCTTGTAAAGACGGGGCGTCCTCAGTGTTGTACACCGGGAGGAGGAGGACAAGTGTCCGCCGTCCTTCTATTGGCTCCTGGAGAGGTGCGCTGCATTTAAAACAAACAAACAAACAAACAA